TCTTTTGAAACAAACAAAGTACTTGAAAACAGGAAATTGTGTGACAGAAACTATCAAAAATAGTGATTGCTACACCAGGCATGAATTCAACAAAGACTACGAGCTAGGCTTAATATTACAACTTGAGCTAATACAGTATAAAACAGTGAAAGGGGAAAATGAAATTACTAGTGTAATGAACCCATAATTTGGTTCTGAAAACACAGGAATCATAGCAACAATGAACTGGAAGCAGGTAAGCAAAATATTACAGCTGCTAATATGAAAACAATTGTAGTTTATATAGCAGAGAAGTTACATGCTGTGTGACAAAGGTCAGAGTAAATAAATGAAATACAGTAGTAAGATAAAAGGAGTATGTGGCTAAACTAAGCAAATTCTAACCCGAAAATCACTACAAAAATACAAATGGAAGCAACTACATGCTAAGCTTAGGACTCAAACAAACATAAAATACTGAAACATACCAAAAGCTAGTATAGCTTAGAATCCGCTTTAAAGGCACTCTCAGGAAGGCAACAAATCAACTGAACTCACCGATCAAACGGTTGTAACTTATAGTAAAATACAGGAAAAGGTAAAAATAACTTAAAACCAAATTTGGGCTAGGAGCGGTTAATTAAACAAGAATTACATGAGGGATAAGGGCAGTTAAACAGGAACTACATAAGGGAAATCGGCAGTTAAAGGAATAATACAATTAACACATTACTAATACAGTTAACACATTACTAACAAATCGCTATAATTCTATAAAATAAAATAAACAGAACAAACATGTTTTAAGTAGAAAATAAGCCTAAGTGACTCTGTCACACGATGAATGGCTGAATTTAAGTATGACACAAGTCGAGGAATGGATTTCTGATGGCAACCTTCTTGTGAAAGCAGAGGAAGACGTTTTTCAAGTGGTCGTCAAATGGATGGAGAAGAACGAGAGAATTAACCGTCAAAGTTTCTTCGACCTGTTTCGTCACGTTCGTCTGATTTATTTGTCACGCAATTTTGTTTTCAATGTCATTTTGCCACATCCCCTTGTTAAAGGCTGTGGAACGTGTACACAGTTTGTTCATGATGCAATGAGAGATCTTTTTTCTGGAACAGAAGAGTGTTATTTTAACCAGCAGCCTAGAAAATGTTTGAAAACGTTTGAGGATGCAATTGTTGCCACTGGAACTAGAGACAGGTTGTGTTACCTTCCTTCAGAAGACAAGTGGTATAAGTTGTCAGATATGACATCAGATCGTTTGAGTTCGCATCATTTAAGTGAATCAATATTTTGTTCCATGACTGCCTGTTGTGAAAAGTTGTACCTCAATGGCTTCCCAGGGGAGAATGGTGATGGTCAAACAGGATTAAGATAAGACCCATCATCAAACCACTGGGACCATTTTCCGTCAATTCCAAGCAAAATTTATACTATTGTAAACTTCCAAGGATATTTGTATCTATTTGGAGGAGATGGACCCAATGTGAGTCGATACAATCCTGATATGAACCTTTGGCAGGAGGTAGCCCCTCTTCAGTAGTTGTAGATTTGGTGTGTGTATTGTAGCTGATGGTATCAGTTTATATGCAATTGGAGGTATGCATAAACCAACAATCCATGAAAAATGTACCTGTGTAGATGTTGTAGAAAAATTCAATCCAGAAAAAAAAGAATGGAGTAGAATTTCTTCACTTTCCCATAAAAGAGGTTTTGTAAGAGGAACAATTTGAGAGGAAAAGTGCTTGTGTTTGGGGGGTATGGAAAGAATTATTCTGATTTGAGAGAGGTTTTGGAAACGTATGACCCAGCTAATGAAAGGTGGAGCAGCATTGAATCTAGGAATGCACTAATACACATTTCTGATGTTGTGACTTTTAAGGGAAAGGTATTTGTGCTTGGCTCAGCCCAGCTAGGTGAGTCCACTGGAGTTACCTTGCATGCTTATGATGTGGATAAAGATGAGTGGGAAATTTGTTCCCAGCTCTCACTCGACAAAGCTGTATATGTAATTGCTCCCCTTAGGATTCCAAAGGTAATTTTAAATGCTTTTGAGTTGTTACCCTAGATAAAATATTGTTCTAATAGTAGAAAACACTGAAAATAAACTTTTTTCTGCCATATTCCTCATTTTTGAGACACGTTTAGTAAATTTAGCAGAGAGAAATCATCATGGGGGAATAATTTTTGCATCTGAGTAAAAAAATGGTTCAGGATGTCAAAGTTGAAACAGAAATTTTGCCAATTGGGTGGAGTATCATCTAATGTGTCTCCTGGTTGGATTTGTATTTAAACTGTTCAATTTTCAGATACAAGGTAGCATTGTAAATTTCGAATATATAACATGTTTTTACCTTTCATTATCTTTTTAGTACTTTTCAACATTAATTTTTACTCTTTAACATGAAATATGTCATTTTTATCTTGTGAAGAAATAAAAAAAACAACTGATATAACAAAGCCTGATGAATTGGTGGGGGGGGGGAATCTTGGGATGGACTTGCATCCCATCCAGGGGGGAGTAGCTCCTAGTTACTTCAAGCTAAGGAAATTGGGATATTATTAGTACAGACTTTACATTGACTAAAATTATATTTCTGGCAACCAACTTCAAAATTCAGTTTGTGAGATGGTGACTTTGAAGTATGAAGCAGACATTAGTACAAGGCAGCTGCATCTAAACATTGTTAACAATTCAGATTCTTTTAAAGTCAATGTGAGTACCCTATCTTGTGCCTATGTTGCATTCGTAAGTCCACACAACTTTTTCATTAGCATTCCCAAGTTCTTATGAGCAATTTTCCCTCCTAACTGAAAAATATCTGGGAAATTCTCCTGCACTGGAAAAACAATTTGGTTTGTTGGATAATAAATCTTGTCACAGTAAAGGCTTGTCAAAATATGGCACAACCTCATAAAATTACTCAGTGATACTGACAAAACATTTAATAAGATATATGTATTTAGTGTTTTATTAACACATTTGATAGGTATGTAAATTTTGTATCCTTATTGGGATTTTCATTTTCATTGTATTTTATCATATTTAACACAAAGACAGTTTTTGTAGGTACACTTAAATTTGTTTTTAAGTAAAGTTTATGTATGAATGTATGTATGTAGAGTGGCTTAGTTTTGTAGTTTTAGTGCTCAAAGCTGATGGCTAGAATTACTGTATTTCTTCACCTATAAGCCCAGTGATTTTTTCAGTTTTCGACCCAAAATTTTGGGAGATTTTCCACAAAGAAAGGGGTTCGGCTTGTAGCCAAGGGTTTAAGATTTTTAAAATACACAGTTGCTGAATAACTTTACCCAAGCTTGTAGTCAAGTTAGCAATGAAGCAGAAGTAACAACACACAACAAAAATAACTTCTGAAAATTGGTTATTCACTTTTATGAAATTGGTGGCTCCTAAAGGAGCAGTTTGACAGATCTGTGCAAGGGCCTTTAACCCAATTGTTTACTTGCCATCCATTTCGTTTTCGCTGTCTGTCTCGAACTCGTTCTCTTTCCATGTCTTCATCATCTACCTCTGGAGTTTCCTCAGAGTAGACCACGTCATCCTCTGTTCAGTCCAAGGCATTAGAAATACCACAGGTGTTGAAGGATTTGATGACCATCTCTTGGGTTATCTCTGCTCCTCCTTCCTTGATCCACCTAAGGACAAGGTATTGCTTTGACAATGAAAAATTATCCTGATCACTAATTGTTTTAGTTTAGTTTTAAGAGCCAAACCCTTCCCTCCGATCTTTCTCTGAATTTTTAGTGATGAATAGAAAGGCATTGAGTTTTTTCACTTTTTGCCAACACTTTCATTTGTATCACAATGCAATAGCCCCTATTATTTGAGCACTCCGGTATTATCATGAATTAAAATCAGTCAATTCTGGTTTTTTTTTTTTTTTTTAAGGAAAACTTTGGTTCAGGAGGCTTTTTAGGCTACTAAGTTAAACCTTAATTTATACATTCCCATGGATAGTTATAACTAGGAGTTCTCGCCCATTAACTCTCAAACCAGTTTTTTTTTTTTTTTTTAAGATCAGCTTTAGAGTCATCCACCTTGTTCCTTTTGTTGACATTCTTTGGTTGGTCTTCTCTTACATCTCGATACACAATTTGTTTTACATTTTGCCAGTTTTATTTTTCCTTCATTGATTGATATTCTTTTTAATAATTATCAAACTTTTATCTCAGTGGACCCCTTGAAGGAAGGGGAACTGTGATAATTTGATCAATAGTTGACTGAAATTTGATTTGATAAAGGAAATTCTTTCAAAATAATTATATCATCAGCACTTGGTGTATATTATATTGTCCACTCGTCAAATGCCCTTCTTTACACATGAAAAAAGTCCAGCCAACCACTAAATAACCGATTTTAAACACTAGTGTCCGACTTTAGACACTTGTGTCCAATGAACCTCCGACACTAGTGTCCCATTTTGGGCATTTTAGATTTAGACAAAATTGTTCGATTTAAATACTTGGGTCTAATTTTGGATACTAGTGTCCAATGTTAGACACTAGTGTCCCATTTTTGGACATCGTAATTTTTGTGTGATGTCTTGAAAAAAAAGTGAGATATTTTACTATAATTTACCGCTGTTGCGGACTCATCCAGTGTTCTCTGTGACTGCCACAGCATTTTGACAACTGTGATGACAAATATCGTTGTCGATGAGAGCGGTACAGACCACGCTCATGGATTTGTTAATTACTGAGCTACCTCGTAGAATTCGCACATCAAGGGTTGTAGGTTGATCTATCGAAGTTCGTCTGCCTGAATTACGCGTACCGGAAGCTGCCTAGACCCTAACCAGTTCAGGCCTTGCTGTTTTACTTCATGATTACGTGTAAGCTGAGATAGGCTGTTGGTTAGTGGATATATTCAAAATGCAACGGGTTCAAATATTTTTAAAGGGTTGCACATGTTTTACTGTCACACAAGCGGGGCATAGGTTTCCGTTTAATATATATTACAAAAGGCCAAAACTGAGGTAACATTTGTGTATGGTATACATCTGTATTGACGTTAACGTTTAAATGCATCCTGTGAAATCTGTAACCTCGTCACGGTTTTTTAGTAAA